CAACAGTGTCCTGTATAATCACTTTCGCAAACATGACCACTCCGTTTCCGACATGTCCTTTCAAGTTCATGAAGTCGTAAACGATATGCATCGACTGACTGATGCTGAATTCTTTTGGATACGATTATTTCAGACTATTTATCCTTTCGGTTTAAACGACCACATCAAGGGGTTTGGCGTTGTTACTCAGGAAGCAATTTCCACTACTAAAATTATCCCACATTTCTCCGTACCTTTCCCGCCAATCAACCGGCGACACGGACGAAGACGTCGGACTTCAAAATTTATCAACCACGGTTTCATCGATTCGGCTCTTAGTATGACTTTTGACAACTACACTGGTCTTCACACCTTTGTACGCACCTTACATAATCAAAGTAACCGAACTCTCACTGTCACTCTCTACCGAGTAAATAAATCTAATCTAGTGGGTGCTCTTCTTTGGCCCGTGATTAGTCCACACCTCTCCGCTAGGCACCCTACTTCACAGCAATTAGCGGTTCACAATTATGCGTTTCGAGGCGTTATGCCCTATCCTGGACCAGCTTACGACCGAGTTAGTCACAGTCGTTTGGTTTACAATCGCACCTTTCGACGTTTATGTGACGGCATCTCCGTACCCCGATTCACTATAACCTTTAAGCATGATCCCTCATTAGGACGAATTTTATGTAATCACATCACCATACTAAATAACATTGACAGAACCCTCCTCGCAACACAACCTACAACTCCCATCCCATGCGCCTGTTCCAATTCATTTGTATATCTTCCCCTTGGCCACATAATTACTGGCGACACACGCGTGTTAGGTAACTACTTTCTAGAACACTATTTCAAGTTAGGGTGCAATTTCCATTTATCTCAAAATGTACACCCCACTGAAGTCATCGATCACTTTTCCACAGCCTTCACAGCTTGCATTCGGCTACTAGTTCGCAAATATCGTATAGAATTGTCGAGCGCTACAGCTTACCGTGACGACGTGCTGTTTTATGCTCGCCGTCTTCTTGAGAGCTTCTACATTAATGCTCGTCCTCTTGACAATGTGAACACCTCTACGCTTCTTGCACGGGCTGAGAGTCAACGACGTTCGCTAGTCATTACACCTGTTGACAAAGCTCACAATTTTGCTTTCATTTGCAAATCACTTTACGTAAGTGTGCTGAGACAGGAATTAGGCATATTGGACAATGGTGAGGTTATTGGTAATGACACCCATCACCCGGTTAACGATACTGCTGCTCACATTCTAGCTCGCCACGATCTCCTCCTCCAGAGGTTCCAACTTCAACTAGATAATGAAAACAAGGTCCTACCTCTAATCTATGCTATTCCTAAGTTTCATAAAACTCCCTATAGCTTCCGTTTTATCGCCTCCGCTGTACGTTCAAGCATCAAGCCCTTAAGCGTTCTTCTTCATCGGGTA